AAACATGCCCTTCTAAGAGGTCACAGTGATGCCCTTCCTGTTGCCACTGCAGCCCTTCCGGGCACCCCTGCCCCTCCCTCGGCACCTACACTGCCGACTCTGAGTGTCTCTGGCTGCACCTGCACCTGGGGTAGCAGTGGCTGTGGAAGGACTGGGCTGAGGGGACTATATGGGGCAGGGTTGATCTCACCTACCTCACGGAGCTGCTGTTCAGGGCTCAGAGCCCCCTTACTGGTTCAGCCCCTGACCTGGCATTTCTTGGCCCCGCAGGCCAGTAGTGGGGAATAAACTGCAGCTATTGCACCAGGGGCTACCTTCCCCCAGGGAGGTCCCTGGGCTGGTAGGGTGAGGCTCTGGATGTCCATGAGCCCTGTCCAGGATGCAGTCAGGACGCCGCCTCCAACAGCAGCCACAGTATCAGAATGAGCCCTGCTGTGGGATGCTGGGCAAGTTACCCGCACTCTCTGTGCCAGTGTCTTCGACTAGCAGCTGTAATTAGCCCACAGGGTTGTGTGAGACTTTGCACAACAGCCTATTTATAAGAGGCACAGCATCTGAAACATGGTAAAAATCATCAATGCCAGGTTTGATTACTGGTATCATTGTTCGCAAGCTGTCTGTGATCTGCCTATGCAGGTATGAAAACACAGGTATGTAACACACCTCCATTTACACTCATAGTCTGTGCATCTATGCACACACACAGGCACACAGGACTGGCCAACACCCCACGGGTGCTCCTCAGACCCTTTCCAGCGGGGGTGGCTGTAGGCTGCTCTCCAGTGCTGGTTCCTAGCTCCCCACCTCACTCAGCCTCGGGAGGTGGTGAAGGGCCGGAGGGCACGGTGAAGCCAGCTTGCTTCTCCCCCCTGGAGCCCTCTCTTGCAGCTGTGTCTCCAGCTTCCATGGGGGATCCCACCTTTCGCAGCCCTGTGAAGACAGTGATGGGAGCTTCCGCTGCTGCTCATCTCCGGCTCTCACACCGGCCCATTTGTGTTTTCAGCTCCTCCACCCGCTCTGTGATCACTGCTGAGCACTGACTCCCTTCTGTCTTCAATAATCAGGTTGTCTTCTCCTCCACAGACTGAATGATGCAGCCAACATCTATTCCCCTGGTGACTGAGTGGGCAGCATTAGCGTGCCCCCTTTTCCTTTATTGGTTCTTCTCTCTTTCCTTCCTTCCTTCCTTCCGGCTGCACCCCAGCTCTTTTTATTTTTATCCTGAGACACAGCCTCATTATGCTACCCAGGCTGACCTAAAACTTTCAATCCCCCTGCCTCAGTTTCTTGAGTAGCTGAGATTACAGGTATGCACCCCATGCACAGCTAGTATTTCCTTTTAATAGTCTCTTAGTTGGAGTACAAGCCTGGAGTATCTGCCTCTTGTGCATACCTGCTTGACACACCCCTTCCCAGGGCCATCGGAGAAGACCTTTGGCCACACATGGCCACACATGGCCATGTGGAGGCCCTGAAGGTGCAGGTATACACATCAACATGCCGTGCACACATGAGCGTACATACACGCGCCAGAGGCACACTCATACTGCAGCACAGATGCAAATGGAGGACACACACGTGCGTGCACGCACGCACACACTATAGAAGGCAAGGAGCAAAAATGGGGAAAGAGCTGGATTTTGGCTCCAGGGAGTCAGGGAGATACCTGAGACTCAGACAGAGGGGCCCCTGGGCATCGGCTCTGCAAAGCATGCTGTCTACGTGTGCAGGCTCCAGTCCACACACACAGACACGAAAACATATAGCTGGATACACACAGAGGAGCTCACATGTGTGTGCACGTACACAGGTGTGCACACGAGCACAGACACACATGCACAAAAAAGCACTCTTGCTGTGTGTGCACAGAGATTTGGGCACAAGGGACAGAGAGCTATGTGTCCATAGAAGTATGTGCACACACACGTGCACAGAGAGCCCAGCGTGCAATCACACCTGCAAACTTGAACACACAGACAGTATGTGCCCAGTCAGACACCTGCACACTTCCCCGGGCTGATGTGTGCACAAAGACCCTGCAGACACAGCATGCACGTATCACCCTCAGTTGGGGATCATTCCCTTGCCTAAATCTAAGTCCTCAGAAAACGCCTGGAAGAGACTCCGCTAAAATCAAGTTGGCATACCCCAGTCCTCTGGTGATGACAAGGGCGGGGCCCTCCACAGAGCTCTGCCCCTCTCCCAGCACCTAGGGGCACACAGCCTCTCTCTGTGGCCACTCAGTGCTTGGGGGTGGGGAGCAGTGAGACAGAAGGGTCACATGTGACCAGCTTCCTCACCATGCCTCCTTGGACTCCCATCATGGGAACAGGGCAGGAGGGGCATGTGGGGCACTGAGGAAGCACATAGGATCTGCAGGCCCCGGGCCATGGCTCACATCCAACTCTGTCTCCTGTCGCTGTCAGGAAAGACCAGCAAGTCTCTTGGGCCCACGCCTCAGTTTCCCCATGTACAAAAGAGCTAAAGCAGTGTTCCAGGATGTTAGGTCCTACTGGTCCACTCTGCATCCACCTGTCTTTTAGAAGCAGCTGAAGTTTTCCAAAGAACTCCCCTGCTCCAGCACTCAGCCAAAGACTCCCACGCTCTTCAAGCTCCTACAAGGGGAAAAAAGGGCCACAGAGTAAAGCTCACAGCCAATGGCCAAGAAAGAGTGTGGAGTGGCTGAGCTCCTGGGATGTGATGCATGTGGAGGGCCTGGCCCTGGGTGATACTGAGGAGAGGAGGTCAGGCACAGTAGGAAAGAGGGTAGGAACCTGGGAACAGAAGTGGGCTGGGGCACTATTAAAGACAATATCCGGTGGGTTAGGGATGTAGCTCGGCAGCACTGGGCCTGCCTGGCAAGTGCAAGGTCCTGAGTTTAATTCCTGGTACTGGAAAAAAAAAAAAGATGATTTCTGGGAGGCCTTCACCTGACCAGAGCAGAGTCACTCACCTAGGTGTGACATCAAGCTGATCCCTGAAACCAGCCAGTCTTCCAAAACAGATTCATAGCAACCACTCAAAAGAGGTACGCTGACCAGGGCCGGCACGCTAGGGAAGCCCCACAAGGAGAGTAACTTTGAAACAGCTGGGTTACTTTCTGATCCTGGTGCTGCTCCCAGCACTTTTCTGTCTATGAAAGCAACTTCCCCTGCCTGGCTGGCTCATCGAATACTCATCACTTCATAGGATGAGGTGCCGCCAACTCTAGAATCATAGACAAAAGCCCATTATGGTATTTAAACCAAATTTGTTATGATTTCATCTTTTGCAGCCCTACAGGGAAGAGGGGCAGGGGGTGGCTCTGGGTAGCTTGGGCCCAGACTATGACAGCAGGGACAGAGGGAGGTCTAGGGGGACAGGGTTCCACATGAGACCCTGCAAAGCTGCCTTTATCTTGCACGTGCTCCCTCCCACCCCTAGGCCCGAGCCTGGAGAAGGGCTGCCCCAGGCTGGCTTCCCAACCCTGAGGCCTCCTGAGGCCATTCCCACAGCACCCCTCAAGGGATCTTCACCTGGGCCCCAGGTGAGGCCGGTGAGTGCTGCTGCCATCACCATTCCCAGGGCACCACGTGCACGTGAGCTCCGGGGTCACTGGCCCAAGGCCAACGGTGACAGTGCCGTGGCCTACCAGGAACCGGGCACAGCAGGCTATGGGCACAGGGCGAGGAGGTGTATCTTGCCCGCCCTTCTCTGCTGTGCTGGACCCTCAGCTGCTAAGCACCAGCTACTTGGCAAAGCTGAGGTGGCCCAGCCACACACTGCACACATGAGAGGCCCTCGAGGATGCCCTGCTGTGACCCACTAGTGTCCTCAGGCTCGTGAGAGGGCCGGCAGAGCGGAAGCCAGGGGCCAGGCGGGAGCTCAGCCGTGTAGTCAGCCATCTGGAGGCAGCTTGTTCCCCAGAGTGAGACAGTCAGACCTGGGCAGAACTACCCAACGAGGTGCCCACCTGGCACTTAGGTTCCCACTGAGCCTCACCTGCCATGGAAGTTGCTCCTGCTTGGAGGCTTCTGGGGGAGCCTCCAGAGGGGTGGTTGTGTGCAGTAGGATGGCTCTGACGTCAAGGCTAGGCAAGCAGTGGCTCCTCTGCACAGCAGCCCTGCCTGCCTCCCCGTGTCTCCCAAGCTGGTTGAAATGTCTTCCTTGCTGCCTGGAGTGTCTGAAGAGGCATCTCAGGTGGCCTCTGTCGGCCAGCACGTGGCCCACACTCCTTTCCACACTGCCTGTGCAGAGCTTGTGCAGAGCGGTCGGAGGATCGCAGGCTCCACCCCAAACTCCTTGCCCTGCCCAGGTGCAGGCCGCAGTGTGGCCCAATGCCAAGTCTGGGGATGTAGGCCAGAGTTGGGATGCGAGTGGAGTGTGTCCCACCTGCCTGTCCCCTGTCCTTGCTGTAGCTCTAGGTGGTATAACACCCTCATCAGTCTCTGAGTCTTGCCCTGCTGAGCCAGGTTGGAGATCTGGAGTCTTTCCTGGTCCTGCAGACCAGGACCAGGGCCCTGGCAACCTGAGCTCATCAGTCTCACCCTGTCCCTGTCCCTCTGTGCCCTCAGCTGATCTTGTGTGGGTCCCTTTCCCACTGAGGGCAGCATGGCCTGGCTCAGGGAGACTGGATGATGCCACTTCCTGCTGGAGACTCAGCTCCCGGGACCCCACACCTCACCCTGGCCCCGGCCTGCCCGTTTACTCCCATCAGCTGTGTCCCACACGGGGCCTCATTCCAGGCTCCACCCCACCCAGTGCCTGGCCTGCTCTGCTACCCTGGTCATCTTTTACACCCGAGGGCAGACAGGACCTCCCCAGCCCACCCAACCCCAGGGAGGAGAATGGCTTCCCTCCTCCCTCTCATACCTGCTGGGCTGGATAATCATGGGCTTCGTGTCATCTCCCCTGCCATGCTGGGGACTCCCCGAGGGGAGCACCCCATCTCATTCAGCTCGGCAGCAGAGGGCTGGACACAGAGCAGCCAGCGGGGACTGTTGGCCAGTGAGAGAATGACTGAAAACAAAGGCATCTGCTTTATTTGTTTTCAGACAGCAGCATGTTGTTTCCTAAGTACATGGCAGCCAAGCTCAGAGGATATGAGGTGCCCTTGGGAAGGGGCAGGGCACAGTGGCGTGGCCCAGGGTCTGAGCCTGTGATCCCATGGCTGGTCCCTTGGTCAGAGCTGCAAGCTGGTGCCCAGGGCCAGGTGTAGTGGCTGTTCCTCAGCCCTGCAAAGGAAAGGTCAGAATTCAGTCACAGCCCCTGCCACCTCCTGTGCTTCTGCTCCCAGTGGCCTCTGCATCCTGCTCCCATCTCCCTGCCCAGCAGCATGCAGGCCCTCAAGGGACATGTTCTTATATCAATCCCAGCTGCAGGACACCACGGGCTCCCAAGCCCCACCGCTCTCTTCCACCTGGGGCACAGCACAGACTCACTCCACTTCTGTTCTGCTCACTGAGGCTGCCCTGCGTCCTCGCTTTAAGAGCTTGGCACAGTCCATGCAGCTTCTCGGCCCTGGGCCTGGGCTGCTCTGGAGTGTCTGAGCTGTCCCTGGAGCTTGTTGCGGGAAGCAGCTCTGTGGCCACCCAACTGCTCCACCACAGAGGCCTCTGTCCCTTGTTATCTGGCTACTTCTAGAAGCAAATTTCTCTTGGGGTCCTCCTACCTCTTGCCCCCAGGAGCCTCATGTGGTGGGGATCGGCAGAGGGTGGTAAGGATTTCTCCTGCCTCACTGTGACTCAGGCATAGGGTGTCACTCGTGCACCCAGGAGCAAAGGCTGAAGCCAAGCACCTTGTCCTGACATGATACTCGTGTGCTCCAAACAGCACAGGCACCTGGGCTGGCCTCTGCCATGGCCAGCTGCTCATGTCCAGTGTGCTCTCTGATGGCAGCAGGGTGAGGGCCAGCAAGTGTCCCAGAGTCCCTTGGGCTCTGGACCCCAGAGATGCTGGCACTTATTGCATTCTGCCTGCCTCATCATTAATGGTGCAGTGAAGACACACAGGAGAGACGTGCTTGTTAAAGACACACCATGGGGGCAGTGGGGCTGAGAACTGCCACACCTGGGAGATAGGAGGAAGGACAGAGATCAGGGCTGGGAACATGGGGTGGGGGTGGGGCGAGGGGACTGTCTAAGGTGGGACAGAAACCTTGGACGCCTGATGGGTACCCAGCTCCTCTGTCCAAGGTTAGTGGGGCTGGCACAGCCCCTTCTGTGTTTGTCCTGAAATTAGGCAGGGAGTTCTCCCTCCTCCTCTGCTTCTACCCTGGGCTTCACACTGAGGGCTGACTGAGGCTCTGTGCACACCCATCCCACAGGGCAGCAACTGGGCTGGGGGGCACTGGTGTGGGTTGTGCCCAGCGGGCAGAGCGGAGTCCCAGCCTGGGCACAGTCAGAAGGATTGGACAGTCAATGGGAGAGCCCTCAGACACAGCCAGAGAACACGTTCTCTAACCTCAGCCTTTTTTATTTTTATTTTTTGTAGTGCTGGAGATGGACCCCAGGGTCTCAGGCACACTATGAAAGTGCTCTACCATCAGGGCATTCTCCCACCCAAAAAGACCTCAGCTCTTTTCATTAGAGGCACCTAAAGCAGCATGTCTCCTACTCTGGTAAAAGAAGCTTTTCTGCTAGGTGTGTAATCCCAGGTGCTAGGAAGGCTGAGGCAGGACAAGCACAAGTTTGAGGCCAGGCCAGGAAATTTAATGAGACTTTGTCTCAAGATAAAATGAAAAGGGCTGGGGCTGGGGATGTAGCTAGTGGCACCGTACCTGCCTGGCAAATACAAGGTCCTGAGTTTGATCCCATATAATGGAAAAAAAAAAAAAAAAAAAGAAAGAAAGAAAGAAAGAAAAAGAAAAATGGTTGGGGACATAGCTCAGTGATAGAACATTTGCCTAGAATGTGTGAGGCCTCAGGTTTGATCCTCAGGACTACCCCCTCTTCCCCAAAGCAATAGCTTTACTGGAGGGAGACAGCCTTGTCCTATACTTTTTGAAACACTACATCCTGGAGTGGACTACAGCATCAGAAAACCCAGTGGGTCTAGGCAGGAGGACAGAACCATCCAGAAAAGACAGCAGCCACAGACAGCTGGAGAAGAGGGACAGGAGCTACTGTAGGGCCAGAGGGCAAGGGCAGGCTTGGGCATCTCTCAGGCTCCCCTTCAGCCCAGAACCTGCTCTGTCCACTCTTTTTCCTTTCGTGGGCTGTCCCCGCCTCACTCGACCTCCTGTCCTCACTCACTGAAAAAGGCAGGGGGTCTGAGCACACGGGTGCCCCTGGAGGATGACGCCTCTCCTTGGGTCGAGTCTGGGGTGGGAGCCAGCAGGCAGAGGCTCTGAAGTAGGAGGTGACTGAGTAAGCTTTCCAGGTACATGCAGGGCCCTGTGCCCAAGGCAGGCAGCCGTACCTTGTGGGCGGTGCTCACACAGCGCTGGTAGGCCTTGACCAGGTCCGAGCACAGCAGCACCTCTTGTGCATGGTCACGGTAGCAGCGAAGGATCTGGGCCTGCAGCCCTGAGCATACGGGCTTCACCCTTCGGGGTCTGTGGGTGACAAGAGCAGGCAGGCTGGCTCAGGTGCCAGCATGGGTCAGGCTGCTCCCCAGTGGGCAGGGAGCAAAGAAGCTCACATTCACTTGATGTGCTGGTGCCAGAGGCCAGCAAAGCCCCAGAAGTCCACCAGCACCCATGGGTTCATCTGGGGCTACGGAGGATACAGTGGGGTCCAGCCCTGGGAGAGCTGAGGCTCACATGACGCAGGCGTCAGGCACTGGGCCACAGGTCTAGCACTCCATGCCACACTGCAGCCTGAGGCCTCCAGAGGCCAGGAGGGGTCTGGTGGGCACTGATCCCACTGGGGACCTGGCATCCAAGATGGCCCTGCTGGCTGCATCCAGGTCAGCCACCTTCAGGGGCTATAACCACAGGATGTACACACATTGTGTTCATAATCTTGTTTTGTTTTTTGTTGCTTTGTTTTTTGAGTCAGGGTCTCGCTCTGCAATTCAGGCTGGCCTTGAACTCACTATGTAGCCAGGCTGGCCTCCAACTCATGGTGATTCTCCTGCCTCAGCCTCTCAAGCGTTGGGATTACAGGCATGTGCCACCACGCCCAGCAATCATTTTCTCACACAACACCATTTTTTCGATTTCAAAATGAAATATATAAAACAGGGAAAACTGGGAACCCAGAGAAATGTGCAAAAAGAAATAAAACATTTTCTGACTCATACTTCTCAGAGATAACCATGGAAATATTTTGAGATACTTGACTAGTTTTCTCTCTTCCTTTATTAAAGTAGTCTTAGGACCTATAACAAATGAATATGCTTACTTTTTAAAAACTGTGAAACAAAAATAAATGACAAGAACAACAAAATGTGGTGTTATCTCGGATTGGTTCCCCGCCTTCCGGATTCTTCTTCCAGTCCTGTCTCCCTTCCCGCTTTTCTCCCTCACCTGTGACACACGCTCCCACACTCTCCACACACACTCACTTCTGTGCACACAGCAGTGCTCACACACACACCCATCACTCCGCACTGCAGCCCTGTAGCACACGCTGCCAGGAAGCAGGAGGACATGTGTATTTCCATCATCTGGGTCACCCTATTCCCCTGATTTGCCCTCCGAGTGGGCTCTGTGGCCGTGTGTGCACAGGCTCACCACTGTGCAGGTGGCCTTCCAGTACCCTGCTGCAGCTCAGAATCCAACACCCATCATGGCGGAGGGCACAGAAGGAAGGTGCGGAGAGGCAGAAAGCCGTCCCTTAAGTTTCTTAGCAATAGAAGGATGGGTATTGAGCACATTGTACAGTAGACATGTGCAGGGGAGATGTGTCAGCCTGTTGTTCTTCCACCCCCACCTCTATGTTTAAAACACGTGGCTGTGGAGGACGTCAACCCTGGGATGCAGCAGCACCATTATTATCTTATGATGACGTAACCAAACCAAATTCATCGGGTAGGAACAGCAAGCGATAGAATGCACAGCGGCTTAGGGAACAAGACCCTGCATGTAGGGGCGCTTTAGCTCAGCAGTGGGCTGTGGCTACCCACCGAGGTCCAGTCCTGCCCCGCTGCCGGTACCTTCCATTCCACTCTTTCCAGCCCTGAAATTGCACACCTGTCCACACTCTACTCCACACCCAAAGAGCCCCTTTCAGAGGAGGACACATGGGGGTTTTGTCTCTGCATCACCTCTGTCCGCATATGCAGGACACATGGCCCTTGGATGCATCGCTGGCTCTTGGTGCCTGGAGGCTCCCTTCCCTGGTGTCCATCTGCCGCTGCCACTGCAGAAGCATCTGCACCAAGTTTGTAGCTGGGTTCACAGGATCACGCTACATCTCCTCTGAGTGTTGGTAGAATGGCTCAGTTTCTGTATCTAAGAGTCTTCCAGCATGGCTGTGTCCAGGCCTGGTCCTTTAACATAGTGCATCCTTGGAGCCAGACCACATGGTGGCATCTGGCCTCTGCAAGGACTCTCTGCACCCCTGCTTTGGTCCTGCTGTGCTTAGGCCCCCTTTGAGCCCCCGGAGGTCACTGGCCCCCATCCTGGGAAGGTGGGTGCTACTCCTTCTCTGTTCAAGGCGAGTGTTCCATGCTGCTTCATGTCCTGTGCACACCAGTCTCTCCTCTTCTGCCTTCATTACATTTTGTCCCTCTGGAATGTGTCTTTAAGTCTTGTATCCTATCTGTTCTACTGGGACATATAGCTTCAAAGAGCCCAGGACCTTCTTCACCCTTCTGCAGCACAGCTCTGTGTGAAGTGGGACCCAGCTCTAGCACCACGCGGCCCGGGAGCAGAGCCAGCAGGCACTCAGCAGACACCAGGTGGGGTGAAGCTCTGGGGTCAGCAAAGGCACAGCTGTTCTGAGCTGTCAACTGGCATGAGGCTTCCTGACCTGAGTGTCAAAAGTGCCCCAGGCAGGCCAGGTGGAGACATGGTGGCCTGGCCTGAGCCAGAGCTCTGACCCCCAGCCCTGCCTTCTCAGAGGGACACCAGAGACACTGACACTTATTCTGCAGGGCTGTGATGAGCAAGGCGCAGCAGATCCCTACCCCTGCCCGCTCCTTCTGTGGCTTTAGATGCCTAGATGAGGGCCCTGTGCCTTTTGAGGGCAAACCTCCCAGAATATCCAGTAAGCTCCCAGGTCAGAAGAAACTGGGCCGTGGCGAAATCTATCCTCTGCACACCAGTATCACCTCTGGGCCCGCAGAGGTCTCTCTCCTCTGGGATTTATCAGAAACAGTGTGAGGAGCCAGAACAGTACGCAAATGTCAAATGGAAGAAATTTCACCCACTTGTCCATAAAGAGGCTCTGAATGGGATATGACAGGGAGAGCACCACTCCTGAAATGAGTGCTTTCTCTGAAGCAAGGCAAGGCAGGGCTGGGCTGGGGTCAAGCCATTCACAAAAGCAGGTGTGGGCTGCCCAGCCCAGGCCACCCTGCAGCCAGCCCCCGCACCCTTTACCAGGCATACAAACCAGCTCCAATCTGAAGCAACACTTGGCCTGTGAACAGCTGCTCTTCAAGGGCATAAATAAAGGTACTCATGGGGTGTGGTAGACTTTCCAGGGTCGGAATGCTGCCCAGATCCCTACCCAAGGGCCGTTCATTGCAGTGAGGATGCCCTTTTCGTGCAAGATCAAATATCTGTGTGGCTGTGAAGGGGGTCACATCACCCCAGTCAGTGTGTGGGGTCCCTGGTCTCTTAGGCCTCTCTTAGGCAGTGCAGGAAAGCCCTGGCCCTATTTTCCGCATCTTGCCTGCCCGGTGACCTTGCCTGCCTGGACTGGCTTATGTTTGACAGCATGTGTTGTAAGTGCCACTGTCACTAGTGCTAGCCGCTGGGGTGGGAGACTGAGGTAGAGCCAGGCTTAGGGTACTGTGGAATGTGCTTACAGAAAGGTGGCTACTGGCAGTGCTTGCTGGAGAAGCACTGAGACACAGAAGCCTTTGGGGAGGTGTGCAGCAGATGTCGGCTTGCAGGGTGGGACCTGACCTTCAAGTGTGCTTCTTCCTCTAAACTCAGGGCCGAGGCCACTCAAGACCCAATTCAGACCTGGCCTGGGGCCCTGAGACTTGGGCCACATGATTCAGACTGGGCTGGAGAGACCCAGCTCACAGACTTGGTAAAAGGGTCAATGCTAGAACCCTGACCCTCTGGGGAAGACAGAAATCCAGGTCCCTCATGGTGGTGGCCCCTTGCTGGAATGAGTCATCCTCATCCACTGGGATGTTGGCAGTGTCTAGCCTTGTAGCACAAGCCTGTACTCTACGCCAGCAGACACTAGTGTGGATAGGTGTGTGGCACTGCCAGAATGACTGCTGGGAGAAAGCACCCGGCTGAGACCTGGGACAACCCTCTGCACACCACCAAGACTCTGGGGGGTCTCCTCAATATTCACGCCCTTCCTGCACCCTTATAATGGCCCACAGATGGCCTCTGTTCAGGACAGAGGTAGAAACAGAGCTATGCTCCAATAAGCCAAGGACCACAGGGACCGCCAGCAGCACAGAAGTATGGTGAGGGGCCTGGAGCAGAAGCCCCTCTGCAGCTGTTAGGGGGCCTGGTCCTGCCCACACCTGAGTCTGGACTCAGGCCCTTGAAGGCACATGAGTTGTGGTACTTAGTGACAGCAGATTAGGTAATCCATCTGGTCAGGAATGTACAGTAGAAGAGGGACCCTGGGGCAGTGTGGACAATGGCAGATGGGCAACAGACACACCCTGGGTCCACTTTTCAACAAAGAGTGATATCCTCTTTTGAATCATGGCCTGAGTCATAGTTGCTGCATGTCTGTGAGCACCTACCATGTGCTATGCTCTCTGCCAATCTCTGCACAGAGTTCTGATCCTGCCCGTGTGAGGCCTCATCTACACTGAGAGATGAACAGCCATGTCCTGGTTTACCTGATGATCAAGGGGAGGGGGCCCTTCCTTGCTTCCCAGGAAGTTTTCTATGCTGGGACATCAAAGTGAGGACCAGGCTGTGGTAGGGGACCTGACAAAGGGTGCATTTCCATCATAGTTCGCAGCAGGGGTAGAACATTCCAGCCCATTTGGAAGTGTGTCTGGGCAGGCCTATGGCACTGGTCATTCTAAGAACACCCATCTTATCAGGCCTAACACATGCTAGGTCCTAGGAATATCCATACCAACTCTGTGAGCTGGCATTACTGTCTCATTCTGCTAGTAGGGACCCAGAGTTCAGGTGGCTTGCCAAGGCCACAATGTAGTAAAACAGAGGCAGAAGGGCCTGGTGTGTCTGGCTTCAGGCTGTGTCATTTTAGCTCCACTCTACCTTCAGAAAAGCCTATATGATCCCACAAGAAGAGACAACAAAGGGTACAAAGAAGACAGAGAAAATCAGGCCCAAACCACATGGTATGCAGGGCTCCAGGGTAATGAAGGCCAAAGCTTACTGGCTTGTTCTTGTGGGGAGGGACATCCCAGGCAAAGGTCCTGGGCAGAGAAAAGGAGATACGAACACATTGCTGGACCAGCTGCCACAGGCCATGTAAGGGGCAACAGAGA